ATTTTTGCTTCATTGAAAACAGAAGGAATTAATTAATACTTTGCCAAATAAATGGTAGACACAATTTCAGTAGATTAAAATTAATTGTACAATAAGCGCAAACTGTAAAAATTTAATATTTGTTACTTTGAGAGACTAATAATAGAAGAAAACATCAAACTAGTATTAATACAAATAATACACTATTATTCGGGAAAAGAAAACACCACCCTTTTCTTATAAAACACCTGTTCCTTTACAACTCCATATCAACTGCTTTGTCCAAAATTTCCAGCTAAACTTTGACAATCAAATTCATATTTTTGAAGTCACCTGGGATAGAAAATACTCTGGGATATGTTTGCAACCGAATCAAGATTCCCATAATTGATGGGCAAAGTTGGGTTTTCGCACGAGTCATTAAGTTCCATTGTCATCTCATCCATGAAAGGGGGATTAGTGGGTGCAGGAAGATGCTCTTCTTTCTTTACCAGCATCTGTAGTGCTTTAGACATGGATGGTCGTAGCGATGGGATCTCTTGGGTGCATAAGAGTCCAACATGGACAACCCTTAGAATCTCATTCTTCACGTCGATGTTATGATAATTATGCAGCATTAAGTTCGGGTCGAACAGCTTGTCCACTGTTCCTTGCTGGAAATGATTCCACGTCTATTTTCATCCAAAATAATGCAAGTTGAGAGAAAAAGGTCAATGACCAACTAATAGAATTACATAGAATGGCAAAGACTTCAGAACTTACAATAGATATTAAGCTGTCCGAGTACTCGGCTGCTTTGCTCCTGTTGTTCTGTCTACCTGTGACAATTTCAAGCAGCAGTACACCAAAGCTGTACACATCTGCCTTTTCTGTTAACTGACCATGGGCTAAGTACTCTGGAGCCATATATCCTCTGCATATTTTGATTTCAAGATAATATATGAGATCAAATTTGTCAATTCGGTTTAGCATGCTTGGTTGCTCTTAGAAGTGAGAACTAGCTTTCAATTTACTTTGCCAAAACATCATTTTCGAAGTAATGTTTTCATTCTTTTTTAATAACAAAATTTACTTTTCTAGAAAGTATGTCCCAACTTAGTTTTGGTGTGAGAACCATTAATCATAGACCATTTAGGCTTTTATTTTTGGAAGAGAACAATACTCACAAAGTTCCTGCAATGGCAGTGCTAATATGACTTTTATCTTCTTGAAAAGACCTCGCCAACCCAAAATCAGCAATTTTAGCCCGGAGTCGAGAATCCAAGAGGATATTACTTGCTTTGATGTCTCTGTGAATAATTCTGGTATTCGTGTTTTCATGAAGGCACACCAACCCTTCTGCTGTCCCTATAATTATGTCAAATCTCTTCTCCCAATTTAGTGCTTTTCCTTTGCTTGGATCTGTCAAATTCAACATAGTAGCGTCATCACAAATTAATCACTTATAATATATGCAATAATCTACATCAATTAATGGATTAACCTAAATTTGAAATTTGGTAGTTACCAAAGATAAAGAGATCAAGACTCTTGTTTGGCAAAAATTCATATACAAGAAGACTTTCAGGTCCCGAACAACTGCATCCCAACAACCTGACTAGATTTTTGTGCTCGACGCTGCTGATAATATTGACTTCATTGTAAAAATCTCCTGCTCTATGTTTGTTGTTATAGAAAAGCCTCTTGACAGCAATCTCTCTTCCATCTTGCAAAACTCCCTGCACAAACATAAAATTTAAGCATAGACAATAAATTCAGAATCAGATATATAAATCCTTTTTCACTCTCTGCTCTCTTCTAACATATTTTATTGAGATCGCGTCACTCTTATGAACACGAGCCTCTTTAAGTCTACGCAGAAAATTAAAATTAAATTAAATAGCTTCTACAAGTTTGTTGAGCATTACCTTATACACTGTACCAAATCCACCTTGCCCAAGCTTGTTGGCTTCATCAAAAGAATCAGTTGCTTTCTCAAGTGTGGAATATTTGAAGTTCAAGCTGCTGTCATGAAGGGTCCTCACCAGTTTTTCCGCATCGCTGAAACCTGGAATTACGGAGCAACTTCACATTATTAAGATTGAGAGCCTACAGAATGCTCGCCATAATTGAAAAATTATTTAAAAATCTTGAAGTACGAAAAGGTGCAAAATAATGCAATAAGGTATTGTGACACCATTGCTAACAACTCTCATATAATGTAATTTCTAAATGCCTATGGTCGAATAACTGCCTTTTACAGCTGACATTTCAAACTTGTATAGAAGAAATATTTCTACCTTTCCTCTTCTTCTCTATTGTTCTGCGATTCCAGATGTAAAATCCAATGACTGCTCCAACGATCAAAACAACTACTGCACTAGCGACTGCAACTACAATACCTATTACTTTCCCTGTAGAAGCCAGTTGAAAATTAATGATCAGGCCAGATAGATAAAAAATTTAAAATATTTAACTCGTTAAGCAACACAATAACTTCCTTTAAAATTCAAAAACAGGGAAGAAACACAAAAAATTACCGGGGAAATGATAACTGAGGTTCCCAACCTATGCAAAATTACAGAAAGTAGGTCTTAGGGATTTTTATTTATTTATTTTTTTTTCACGTGTGGGTTCACAACTTTTCATTTCTGTAGCAAGTTCTCGGTTTCTATTCAGTTAACCATTATAAAATCATGTGACTACATGTTTGTATACCCTTCTCCCTATACCCTGCTGCTCTTTCCCCCCAACGTGCTACATTTCTCGTAGGTTCGAGACTGGAGTTGTAATTTTTCCAAAATACAGAGAAAAAGGAACAGAAGCAAAAAGTTCAACCTTCAAAATATAAGAGCTTTCACAATGAAGAGAGATAAAATCTACAACAGAATTTCCAGGGAGAAGATCATAAATTTCATTTTACCTCTTGAACTTCCATTTTTCGGTATAGGATTAAGAAAATTGGTGTCGGAGTACCTAACAAAGCACCCTGTATTCAGTGCCCGACCCTCAGACCGTGGCAAGCATCCCAATATAGATGCAGATGCATTCTGTAAACAAGCTCTGCAAGAATTAGCACTAAGAGTCCTCCAGCAGTTAGCAAGAACATAAGCTGATTCATTTGTTCTTGACACGGGCACTTGAGCCCGTGCATAGCCATTGTTGTTTGGTGCAGCTGAAACTGCTTGTACCACAGCCTGCCTTGCTGAATTCTGAAATGCAGAAGTCCTTTGGGTTCTATTACCACAGACTGCCGTGTCATTTGGTCCAGTGTACTCTTGATCGAAACTGTAATTTTGAACTCGCATGAAGCAGCCATCAAGGAAAATCCTTCCACCATTGGAAGGAAAGCACTGAGGAAGGATAGTGCGCATTTCAGCATAGCATAATACACAGTCAACTGAAGAAAGATCCCCATAGCATTGTGCTAGTCCATAATTAGCGTCAGGTCCTGAACCCACTACTGCCTTGCCAAAACCTGAATTTCGCATCTGCACGCTTATGTTCTCCATTACGTTAACAAAGTTCACGATGAAAATAGAGGTGTTGTGCTCAGGTTGGTTCCCGCACATCATCCTAACATTCTGAGCTCTTGGCTCCCCCAATGATGCATCTGGTGATAGCAATGTCACAAGAATAATGATGATAACAGTTGGACTGAGAATGGATTCCTTCATTTTCTGAATCGCTTTGTCTTCCAATCGTCTGTTATAGGCAGTATGCAGTTCAAAATCCCAGATAAAAAATACAAAAATCAAGATAATCATAGAATATTGAAAAGATACTCAAGCATATTATAGTTTATAGTTGAAACAACGCAACTGACTTTAACAAGGGAAAATGGACAAATTAACTATAGCTCGACTTTTTTAAGTAAAGATTTTGATGATCATTAACTTCTTCAATGCCTGTTCATTCAGCAGCGAAAGCATGACCAAGATAAAGAACTAGATAGGATAAGATTCTTGAATAGCCAGACTATTGAAGATGAAGAAGAGATAAAAGGTGTGAAAACCAAGCAGCAAATCAAGAATTTGCCTTCAAAGAAATAGACTAGTTATGCAACAAGTCAAAAAGGTTTATCAAAAATATATATGCAGTCATTTGGATCAATGATAACAAAACCAGATGGAGCCTTTACATTTTCAACCCACCAAAAATTCCCTCAACCTTTCACATTTCATCAAGAATTATTTTTTTGGTAGAAAGGTCAAATTTTAGATGAAAACACAGATGTCATTTGTTCAGTATCATATCTTTGCACGAGAGACAGCCGCAGAAATTAAGGCCATAAATTGGATTAAAGATTGATGAATAATGCAATATAGAAAACGATGTCAGTGATGATAATTAAATAATGAATGACACCTCAACAATAAAGCCAACTCACAATAATTTTCAAAAGAAAAGTGAGACCCCACCTCAACTACACTTAGAATTAGTAGCCAGGAGCCAACTCAATCCATAAAAACTTTCACTCCACAACAAGATATTTGCATAAAATACACAGCAACCATAAAGAAGAATCCAGTCATAATTTAACATTCAAGCAAATAGTCAATATTTAAACCTCACACAAACTTACACCTCAGCTTTGAATTTTGAGGCGATATTCAAAGACTTAAAGCTGTATTATAAATATTAAATATAAAATCTATACTTAAGGTCTTCGGATTAGCACCTAATCATGTTGACAATATAATTTATATTCATTTGTCAAAATTTATAAAATTTTACTAAAACAACAAATAGAAATTAAAAACATCTTTCTACTTTTATTTTTCTTGAATTTTCAGATGATTATTCATTATATGAATACTGTGAGTGATAATTTTAATAAGAACAAAATGCCTGAGGAATCAAAAGAAAAAGCTACTACATTTAAGTAGCTTTTAAGCTTAAACAAAAAAAAAAAAATCAAACAGTAGTAACCAATTAAATCACATAATTATTCGACTTCAAGAAGACAGAAACATCAAGAACGCGAAAACCGAAACAGATCAAACGAACCCAGCAAAAATTCGAAGAAAAAAACATGCCAATAAGGTCAAAATTACTAAAAAGATACCACTTTTTTCACATGGGCAGCTGAAGTTTGTCGTTTTGGTTCTAAAATTTATCGACCTTTGGCTTCTTCACTTCTATGAAATCGAAGAAAACGAAAGTATGGCAGAGAGCTTATGAAGAAGAAGAAGAAGAAGAAAGGATTAACTGACTTCTGAAGGGATTTCCAATTTTCTTTTTCAAATGAACAGAATTTATAAAACGCGGTACAAAAATGATTTTTCTTTGCCTACAAGTCTAACATTTGTGGGGTCGTTTTGACAGTTGATCCAATAGGAAATTAACTAATTAATATGAACTTACATACTAATCAAGTCCGTGTTCGGTGGAGAAAATCGGATTAAATTTGAAAAATTAGTCGTTATTGTTGACTTTTATTAGACGAGTGGGATCCAGGCCCCAACGACTATATTTTCAATTTTAATTGGACTTTATCTTTACCAAACAAGCACTAAAAATACGGCAAGATAGATAATTCTATTATCTTTGTTAATATTTTTTGAAACATTTGACGGTACAAATTCTGGTGTAGGCTCGAATGCTTGGATCGACTTTAGAGTTTTAGACAGTCGCAAACTTAGGACATGAACTTCGTTTGTGTACAACAAAGTAAAAAATGGAACACAATCGACCCAGTTAACGTGTATGTAATAACAAAAGACGCAACGTATAATTTACTTTATTTCTAAGTCTAGACGTGTCAATTAATTTTTCAATTATTCAATTTGAATACTGTTTAAAGTCAATGATTTAATAGAATTTTAAAACAGTCGTGTTGCATTCAAGAATTAGAAATTAGAATTAGAATATTTAATTGTGATCAATCAAATCTGGAAGGCTCCAAAATGAGAATCTTGTTTTTATTTGACTCGGTAATTATTTTCTCCCATTCCTTAATTTTGAAAAATGGGACTCAAACGGGGACTTGCAATTAAATTTGTATACCAAAAGAATTTGTTCGTTGTCAAATGTTGACAGGCCAAATTGCACGTGATAGACATGTTTATCCATGACACAAACTCGTTATACAATTGTGCATTTTAAGGGCGTGTTCGGTAGAGATTAAAATTGAAAAATTAGTCGTTATTGTTGACTTTTATTAGACGAGTGTGATCCAATAACGATTATATTTTCAATTTTAATTAGATTTTAAGTTTAGTCAAATATGTTTCAAGTCTTTTATTCAAAAAATAATAATATTAATAAATAAATAAATAAATAAAATTGAGGAGGAAATGGTCTTTGATAAAAAGACACTATGAATTGATGGATGGCTTGCAAAGGGCCCCACTTTTGGATTCAAGCATCGATTTTTCTCCAATAAATTGTGACAATTGTCTTCTCAAAAAGTCAAAGATATTAACTTCTGGGAAAGCCTTCTTCTAGAAAATGAGGTAAAAAGCAATATTATAAAATCGACGGATTCTGATTTTAATAGCATTAATAAAAATAACAAATCCATTACAATGGGGACTCAAAACAGTAAATGGTAGGTAAAATTGATACTTCATTGCAATAGGAATTAAGGTAGGTTCTATTTATCATTTTCAAGTCGTTTTCTATTTTCGATTTTTCAAAACAGTAAAAACGAGTTCTCTTTCCTATTTTCGAAACAGGTTTTTTAAAAATAAGTTAAAAATTTACAAAGAAAACACAAAACGACAAATTTGTTGTTTTGAGTGTTTTCAGTTATAATCAAGCCAAAATTTTCATAACGCGTTTTGAATGTTTTCAAAATAATTTTCAAAATACCAAAAAGAACACATTTTCAATAATCTCAAAATAGACACTCAAAATACAAAACTCAACATGAATTCAAAATTCAAATACAAAAATGAAATACAAATAGAACGGCTCCTAAAATTTCGTCTACCTATTTCCCAATTGTTTGGTGAGAATTAAAATTAAATGTTTATAAACGTTGATGAAATGTGTGGTTGAAAAGTTGTGAACTCCATGAAATATATATAGTTAAAATTAATTGTTGATTTTAATTTAGATTAAAATTTTAATTTTCACCAAACAGTGCACATTTCATCAACTTTTATAAAAAGAATTAAGAAAAATCTTATTTTAATCTCCATCAAACAGGACTTCCACTGAATGATGGATTTTTCTAGTATTCCACTTCTAAGTTGGATTTTTTTTTTTTTTCTTTCTTGACTTGCTGCAAGTAGTTTGAAAAAAGAAAAAAAAATCAATTATAGAAAAATAGAAATATTTTTCGTCCTCAATGCATTAAAGGCCTGTTCGGTACAGCTTAAAATCCAATTAAAATTGAAAATATGGCCGTTATTGGGTCTCGCTCGTTTAATAAAAGTCAACAATAACGACTAGTTTTTCAATTTTAATCCAATTTTAATCTCTACCGAACACGTCCTAACTTTTTTATCAACGCGCTATTTTAAAATGGTGGAATTGACTAGTTGTATATGAGGAAACGTTGTGAATTAAAGTTTCATATCGACTAGACATAAAGATTATTTTAGAAAGAAAATTTAATTACTCCTCCAACATATTAACTTTTTTGGTACGGAATATATTACGGTTGCACCCTATACATAACTATTTTATCGAACGAGATGAATTTTTGAACTTACGTCCAAGATCTAAATGAAGGTATTGATCTCGGTTAATCGTGATGGTCAGAGAAAAACATGTGATTGGCGCTCAAAGCATTGGTGTTCACATAAGGTGGTGGTCCCTAATACCTTAAAGAAGTTTAATTTTGACCGGACATGTGATCGCTCCTTATTTAGGATTGAAATATAGATTATCCTTCTAGGACCAAAATGATGTGATAACGTATTTAAAGTTGATTGATAAGAAAGTATAAACAAAAGTTTCTGAATTAGCTAGATATGGAGAGTTATGAGTATACGAGGAAATTCGCTTGTTCATCCTAAGGAGCTAATATTTTTTGATTAAAGTTCAAATTCTAACATAAGAGTCATAAAGACACATATTACTAAGAAATAATAATCTTAAAACTCACATATTTCCCTTCAAAGATCACAAAACTTGCTAGTTAATTCCATTCTAGCTGGTCACTTGGCACTTCTAACGTAGCCAAGTATCCATTTTATAGCCGTTCATATCTTTCTTAGACTACATCGAATCATAATCGAAACAGTTATAAGAAAATAAGTAAATGATTTTTTATAATATTATTGGATCGATTTTCAACTTTGCTTATTAAATGGGTTATAAATCGATCTAATCTGATTTTAACAACGTATGTAAAAATACACTATTTTTCTCTCCCTTGCTCACCCCTCCCGATGATCAAAAGGCAAACAAATCCATTACAATTTGGTCTCGAAACAGTGAAAAGTAGGTAACTTGAGGGACTATTACAATTATACAAATTAAGATTTCCACTAAATGGTGCATTTTCTAGTCTTCCACTTCTTGATAGTTGGAAATATTTTCCATTTTTTTTTCCATGATGTGATGCAAGTTTTCTTTGGAAAATACCAACCGTAGAAAAATAGAATTTTTCTGGTCCTTAATTCATTGACTTCTTTATCGACGCGCTTTTTTAAAACAGTGAAGTTGATTAGTCGTATAGGAAAAAAAATGCGACTAAAAGTTCCATATCGACTAGACATGA